TATGTGTGTAGGAAAGTGTGCATTGGGTGTCTCTGTGTGTGTGTCAAACTGGGCCTTTGACCCGGGTGGAATAAAACCTACTTTTGACCCTGGGTCCCCCCACCCTTCCAGAAAAATCAGTGGCCTCCTCTCTCTCTCTCTTTCCGAGGGATGGATAACAAAAGACTTCAGCAAACAGCAACACAAGCAGCAGCGCTCAGAGCAGGCTGCAGGAACAGCCAGTCACCTTCTCTTGCGAAATCGCAACAGCTGGAAGGAACATCAAGAGTGGCTGGACGAGACTAAAACGGACGTGTAGTCCAATGTTTATCGTCCCTGGTGGGGCTCTGCCAGAAGCTTCTGGGAAGCTCACGTGTGAGCTGAACACCATCCAAAATCGCACCAAAAAACCACCCCTACCTGAAAGACAGGGGCGAAGCAGCCACTGCGCTCCCCACCCCTTGCATGTTGCTGTCCTAAGGAGGGAATAATGCACTTAGTAAGCAGAGGTGCTGTCGCAGAGAGGACTTTGGGGTGGGCATGGGCGGGGGGCAACCTGGAGAAGAACAGCCTCCCACACACTCAAGTGTGTTGCACCGGGTTGGACTAGATGACCCTTGGGCTCCCTTCCAGCTCTGCAATTCTGTGATTCTATGAATAAATGCACACAAATGTCTAAAGTTGCAGCGGGGTGGGGAGACATCATTTGAAGTATGACCATCTAAAGCAGTGTTTCCCAAACTTGGGTCTCCAACTGTTTTTTGGACTACAACTCCCATCGTCCCTAGCCAGCAGGACTAAATGGTCAGGGATGATGGGAACTGTAGTCCAAAAACAGCTGCATTAGCCAGGGAGCTGTCTCAAGGGATGTTTTAATTCCACCCACCATAGCTGGTGGAAGAGACTGGACAAGCAATTCTCCTCAGGCTGCATCCTGCATTTTAATCTGTTTTAGCATTTTAACTTTCATATGTCTTATAAAGCTAAGGCCGTCAGTTTTCCTTGATTTTATTGTTTTATCATTTTGCAAAAAGCTTTTGAGGTCCCCCCCCCCTTTTTACAATCTGGCAGTGTATAAATTTCATGAAAAATATAGATAAAGCTGCCTTGGAGGAAAGGTGGAGGACATAGATGCAATCTATAAATAAGGTCGTCTCGTGAAAGTTGCGGCTGTGGCAAGATTTGAACTCGGGACTTCCCAGCTCAGAGCTGGGTTTACATCACTAGCACAACCTCCCAAACCCTGTCTTCTGGGCTTACGTGCTGAAGCATGCAGAATACTAATAAAGAATAACATGCCCCAGATCATGGGCAGAGTGTTTTTCTGTCACCATCACTAAGATTCACAGAATCAGAGTTGGAAGGGACCCCGAGGGTCATCTAGTCCAACCCCTTGCAATGCAGGAATAGGCAGCTGCCCCTTGTGGGGAATCGAATCTGTGACCTTGGTGTTATGAGGATCATGCTCTAACCAGCTGAGCTAACCACCTTGAGATGAGGAGGAATGGGTTCTGGGACACAGAGAAAGACTTTCTAAAGTGTTGAATCCTGAGAAATTAAATTTTGGCTCCAAGGGTGACAGACAGCTGGCACTGCCCAAAGGGCCCCCAACCTAGCCTTACCTGGCAAGCAAACCTCACCCCTGAGGCTGAAAGTAAGGGGCTGGGAAATCAACACAGAACCACATCTGTAGGTGCCTGCATGCAGCTGGATCAAGGGGAGACAGTGTGGGGGATCTGTCAAGGTGTTGCAACTGCAGGATCCCACTTAGGGGAGTTGCTTGATAGCAGTTGAGGCAGCCCTATGAGGAAAGGTTACAATCTTCAGCACAGGTAGGCAAACTAAGGCCCGGGGGCCAGATCTGGCCTAATCGCCTTCTAAATCCGGCCCGCGGACAGTCTGGGAATCAGCATGTTTTTACATGAGTTGAATGTGCCCTTTTATTTAAAATGCATCTCTAGGTTATTTGTGGGGCATAGGAATTCATTCATCCCCCCCCCAATATAGTCTGGCCCTCCACAAGGTCAGAGGGACAGTGGGCTGGCCCCCTGCTGAAAAAGTTTGCTGACCCCTGATCTTCAGGCTCGGGATACAGAGGCAAACAGCCTCCAACAGTGGAGGGCAAACTTAGCCACTGTGGCTGGTAGCCACTGACAGTTTTATCGCCCACCAATTTGTCCAGTCTTCTTTTAATGCCACCCAAGTCGGTGGCTATCACTGTGCGAGCAAATGCCACCAGCAGACCTACACCACACATTTAAAGCACATCCATGCACATGACTCCCCCCCCAAAAAAAAGAATTGTGGGAACTGTAGTTCCCACCCACCACACTACAATTCCCAGCACCCTTAATGAGTTCCCAGGATTCTTTGGGAGAAGTCATGTGCTTTGAATAAATGTATGGGGTGGATCTGTCTGCAATTCACCTGTCCCCCATGTGAAAAAGTCATTTTTCTCTGTCCCAAATCTCCCAACAGTCCACTGCATTGGATGCCCTGAGTTCTAGTTTTACGTAAGGAAGCAAAACAGCACTCTAGCCACTTTCCCTCAAACCATGCTACATTCTGCACCCCACTTGCTTTGCCCACCCAAAACGTCATAACTTTTCCTCACAGGGGGAGTTGCTCTCCACCACCTCCTTGATGTTGCCCTTTTCCAAAGCTTTTCCAGGGCCGTTTGGAGGTGAGGCACCCAGAACTGTCCATGGCACAGTATTCCAAGTGTGAAGAGAAGCCTTGTTTCAATGTCACACGACTTTTATTACTTCCAAGTAAGGCTGCAGCATATTTGGGGTCCAACAATTAACAACAGCAACGACAAAAGCCTCAAGGAATACAGAGTTACCTCCTACAATTGCATACAATGTAATCAGTTTGCTGTGAAAAAACACAAAAAACCCAACACCCTGGGGCAATGCACCCATTTTGGAAAGCCTTGCATCCTGATTCGATGCATGCTTAGAAGGAAGATTCCTAGGCATTTTGGTCACCTCCACCCTGCATATTTAGAGCAGTCTTATACCACTTTAATAGCCAGATTCCCCCCAAAATATATATATTCTAGGAACTGTAGGGGGTCAACTATTAGCATTGTTAACAGTTCCCAGGAGTCTTGGGGGGTGGGTTGTGACTGTTAACAAGGTATAGGAATACTTTGAATGTATGGTGTCAATGTGACTAAATAGGACCGACATCCAAGTAGACACAGTGTTCGGCATGCACCGTTACTTCCTAACGTGGCACAAACAGGACTGTGACGGAAGATTTTCTTTTTGAGATTGCCGAACTGGACTTGGGAAAGTTTAGTCTCAGAGGAAGCAGTAGCCAAAACAAAAAACCCCAAGAATAAGAAACTCATCAAATGTACTGGACTTCAGTGATTTTTCAGGCCCTGTGTTTGCCACTGATGCTATTGTTTCAGCCTTCTCCAGTCTCACACCCTCCGGATTCTCTGAATTACGTCTCCCACAGTTGGGCTGGGCTGATTGGATTTGGTCCTGAATGCCTGGAGGGCAGTAGATTGCCTAACTCAGAGGTTTTCAGCCTTTTTGAGTCCAGGGCTCCCCACCCCCTGCCCAGCCCCAGAGGCACCATTCACCTGGGGAACTCTGCAACAAACAGCTGTACAAGCCTTTGGGAAGCAGAGACGTGAGAGGGCATCAGAGGAGGGAGGGAAGGAAAGAGGGGCAGAGGCCAGTGTTGCCCACGGCACCCCTGAAAGGAACCCCAGGGGGCCCTGGCACACTGGTTGAAAACCACTGACCTAACTATTTGGTGCCCAGCCAAGGAGGTGGGGGCACAAAGAGGATGGGGAGGGGGGTGATCCAGACACTTACAGTGCCACTTAATCCATGGGGGGGTATAACATAATGGGAAAGCACTGACTCAACCCTTGATTATTTCAAAAGTCTCATTTGATTCCCCCTTGAAACAGACCCTACCGATCCCAAATTCCACCCCTCCCATGGCCTTTGCTTGGGATCAGTGCATCTGAACTCTCCCTCCCTCCCTCCCACCCCCCACCCCCTTCAATTGTTTGACTGAGCTTTGTTCTCCGTGTTTACTGAAGTTTCCCATTCCAGGTAGGGAGGAAAGGGGGCTGGGGAGAATGCAGCCCTGCCCCACTCCCAGCCTTTTTCTCCATCAAGGCCCCTTATCCAAATCCCTTGGTTGGTTCCTCTTTTCTTTGGGTGGGGTTGGAGGGGAGAATATTGATAAGACAGCACAGCCTGGTCATATGCATGATTTCCCCCCTCCGCACAAGCAAACCTCACCTTTTGTTTTCGTTCATTCCTAAATGAACAGAGATTTTTCCTGGTGGTGGTGTAGCCTGGTTTTCCAGCAAATTAGGGGACTAGTGCTTGCGCACTTTATCTCACACCTCAGGTTCCGCAAATGCTGCCCCCCAAAAAGGCAGGCACATGGCTTCCCCCAAAGAACCATGAGAACTGTAGTATACCCTCTCACAGAGCTACAGTTCCCAGCGCCCTTAAGAAACTACAGCTTCCAGGATTCTCTGCAGAGAGCTCTGTGCTTTAAATGTATGGTGGCCTTACTCTTTTTTTTCTTTTTAGGTGAAAACTGAGAATCTGGGTTTGTTTGTTTGCTTGTTTGTTTAGTTAGTTAGTGGGTTGCTACCAAAAAAAGTCTGAAAGTGACTTAGTGCAACAGACAAAAACAATTAAAACAAGAACATTTAGACTAATGTACAATACAAAATATCTGGATTATAGGATATGGGTTCATGGGAGGGACAAGCGGGGCAATTGCTCCCCCCAATTTAGGAAGGAAAGTCGGAGGGGGAGCATAAAAAACCGAATTGCCCCACCCTCCAAAAAAAGAAAAAGAAATGTGTGCGTGGGGGAACAACAGCCAAACCCAGGCGCCATCCTGGAAAATCGTGGGTGCTTTAAGCACCCGCCCCCTCCTTCCCCCTCTCAAACCGGTTTGGCAGCCAGGTAACAAAAGGTAAGGACACCGTTATTTCCAAACGCATGCGCCATCCCCACCACACCCCCAAACATCTGATCTAATTAGAGGCAAGGAGAGGGACGAGTTTTGCTGGAGTCTCTCATTCTCCCGGCGCAAACAGCCGAACTCGCGTCTCGTTGGGGTGGAGGAAAAAGCATTCCCCCCCCCCAACAACAGCGAATTCCACCGCGAGCGCGCAACTAGCCGCTGCCCAGACGAGGTGGAGGTGGAAAAGAGACGGCGAAGTGCGAGGGACTTAACCTGCCCGCCTCGCCGGCTCCCTCCCACCTTGGCTCGCTGTACCTTGACCCTCCGAGTTCAGCCCGGCGCGCCAAAGACGAACCGGCTCGCGGGGACGGGCGAAACCGAGCGGCTTTGGAACGTTCGGCGCGCAGGCGTTCCATCCGTAGAACGCCGGGAAACCTTTTTTGTCTTTCTGAACGTTCCATCCGCAGAACTTCGGGAAACTTTTTTGTCTGAACGTTCCATGGGCGCCCGTTAATAACGAAAACTAATAGGGCCTTTTTTTTTTTTTGCTTTGTTTTGTCTTGAAGTAGCGGGGGAAGAGGAAGTGTGCCAGGAGTAAGGAAAAGAGGCCATTTTTGGGGGGAGTAGCGGGGGTTTATTTATTTTTTAAATTTTTTAAGCGCTCACCAAAACAACTTAAGATGCCCAGAGCTTTCCTCGTGAAGAAAACTTGCGTTTCTACCGGCAAGAGGAATTGGAGCGAACTTCCCGATGAAGAAAGAGGCGAGATTTACGTCCCAGGTGAGTCTTGGAGGAGAGGGATCTGGAGTGCGGCGAAACAACGGCCGCCGCGGCTTTAGAATTAAAAAAACCCCTTTGCTTTCGAGCGAGCTTTAAATTTTATTTATTATTGGATTTTATTTATTTTTTTAAATTGGTTTAGAGATGAAAATGCCTCCGGGGTGGGGGAGGAAAGGAGAGGAAGGAACCAGGTGGCGCATAACGGCCACCATCGTTGGAGGGCAAGCTTAAGGGCTCCTTCGGGGCTCCGGTGCATTCCGGAGAGGCTCCGATCCCCACCCACTTCGTTTCCCGGAGGAAGGAGGGGGGTGTCTGAGGGGAAACTGGGAGGAAGGGGGAGCGCGGTGGGTGAGGGGGAGGAGGAGCAGGAGGAGATCATAACTCCGTTCCCCATGAATCACCTCCAGGCAAAACAAGGGAATCGCTGCCTTACTCATGGCAACTCCCACACAGACCTTTTCTGGGAGCGGATCGCACCTGCGCGGCGCGCCGGGCCATCCAGACCTGCCGCTCGCCTGAGAATGCTGGGAAAGGGCAGTTATGCGCGACAAGGCTCCGCTCGAGCAGAGCGTGCGGCGTTTAAACACGCCGGCGAAGGGGCTGGTTGGTTGGCAGGGAAGATCGAGGCGCAAAGGGTGGCGGCGGCGGCGCCTTTTCTAAGATGGGATTGGGCGCTGCGGACGCCGCTCTTGCTGCTCCCACGCTAATTAAACAAATGCAAACAAGCAAATTTAGAAGTTAGTTAAAGTCTCGCTTCGTGCTACGGATTGAGGTGTCAGTGTTTCTGCCGTCCGGCGGAGTTTGTGCTGATTTGGGGTTAAGCGGTCTGAATTTTTTAAAAGGCATAAACATTTGAGTTTCTGCAATATTTTCCACCAGTAATAATAATATAATAATAAAACATAGACGACTACTTTGGCAGCCTAGGGCTGTATCCAACTGAGTCAAGTGCCGGATTTACGTATAAGGTCAACAAGCTATAGATTAGGGACCCACTCAATTGGGGGGGGCCCCAAAAATATTAAAGAAAAAAACCCTGGATGTACATTTCCAAAATATAAGATAAAAAAGACAAATAAAATAAAACCTACATACAGCAACAGTGTTTTGTGTTGTGTAGGCTCCCATGTTGTAAGTAATGGGCCCCCAATCATTTTATGTTAGAGCTTAATAATTATTTCACTGTTAATATTCTTCTTCTTAATTGTATTTCAGTTCAACAATTACTTTGATAAAATACATATTTTGTTATGTGCAAATGGCTTTAGATACATAGTAGGTCCATAAATTACCATACTGTATAGCATATATTCAACACAAAAACAGCGACAATTTGTTGTTGACAAAGGACAGCTGGACATATAAAGGGCCCCATTACCTTCAGTAGCTTAGGGCCTCATCAAACCTAAATCCGGCCCTGAACTGAGTCCTGCTTGGAGTAAACCCACTGAAACCAACAGACTTTAAGGTAGTGTAGTCATGGCCATTGATTTCTATGGGCCTATTCCGAATAGGACTTATTTGAATACAGCCCTTGCTTTCAAGAGAGAGAGAGAGAGAGAGAGAGAGAGACTGCAGGAATTTGAAGTGGTATGCAACAGTCAGAAATTGAGCTGGGTGCACAGCAGGATTCCCAATGAGTGTGTGTGATTGGCCTGATGAATTTCTGCCTGCCCTACAGCTGTGAAACATGCAGAAAAGCAAAGTATAACATATTTTAATAAATCAGTGTAGCTAGGATTTATGGCTTTATGTTGGGGGAAGGCAGAACCGAGCTGTTAAGTACATTTTTATTTACTGGATTTGGGGGGTGGGCAGCTAACCCCCCCCTTCACCCATGATAATCCTCCCACTAACATACACCAGAAACCTTTGCCTAATTCTTGCTTCATAGCATCTCCACCGCTCACCATTCTGCAATAGAATAAAACCCTGCGAGTGAGTTCTGGATTACAGCCTCTCGCCCTAACTGCTAGGCCCTACTCCTTTCTTTAATACAGGGTCCAGAACGATAGTTAGTGCGGTAACTACTGGGTGTCACTTCCCTTCAGGGAGCAAGCAACAGAGAGGAAGAAACTGCATCTTGACTTTCCCCCCTAATTACTCTGCCCTTGCGCCCTAGTCTAGTGTTTTTCGGCCTTGGTCCCCCCGTTTCTGTTGGACTACAACTCCCATCAACCACAGCCAGCTTAGCCAACGGTTAGGGATGGTGGGAGTTGTAGTCCGGCAACATGCAGGTTGCACCCAAGGTTAAAGAACGCTGCTACATGTTTGTCACTTCATTTTACTTCCAATAATTATAGGCCACTTTTCATCACAGAGTGTCACCACCAATAAAACAATTGATCAGGTAATGCTGTGTTGAAAACAAAAACTGCAGACAGATTGTGGGGGCGGGGGAATCATAAACAGGCGTAGTACAACTTGCTTGAAATGGTCTTTGAAGTGGAAAGGTCTTAGTCAAGCACATCTCAGGAGGGAGGGAATTCCACAGAACTGGGTCCACAGAACTGAATGCTCCGTTCCTGGTGGATACGATGAGCTTCCACAAACAGAAACGCCACAAGAAGATCTCATTGATTGGGCAGGAGGCTAAGGGATCAGGTGGTCCTGAGGTTATCCTGGACCCAAGTTTGTAAGTTAATAGAAGAACCCTGAACTTGACGCAACCACATTACTGTATGAGATCATTTCCGTAAGGGTAGCTCTGCCAGACTGTGTACACACCATATATTTAAAGCATATCCTGGGAACGCTAGCTTGTTAAGGCTGCTGGGAACTGTAGTTTTATGGGGGGTAAACTACAGTTCCCAGGAGTCGCTGCAGTACATGTGCTTTAAACATATGGTGTGTGCACAGCATTAGTCTGTGGTAACAGCAGTCTTGTGACATCTTCAAAAACAAGCACATTTATTACAGCAATACGGTGGTGTGGTTAAGTAATTTTACAGTCTGGTTACATAGGGAGGGTGCCCCATCTTAAGACAGTAATGTGTGTTCCTTGACTGACTTTGGAATGTGGAAGCCAGCCCTTCTGTGTGGGGTTTGGGGGGGGCATTCCTGGTCATTCTACCGAGTGGGGACCTGGGCTTCTCCCCCTAATGGCACTACTTGTGGCGTAGGTTTTGCAACTCACACTTCGCTTTGATGAGATGCATGCTGCATAATCCTCTATTGGCAGGTGCATAGACAGTGGTACCTCGGGTTAAGTACTTAATTCATTCTGGAGGTCTGTTCTTAACCTGAAACTGTTCTTAACCTGAAGCACCACTTTAGCTAATGGGGCCTTCTGCTGCCGCTGCGCCGCTGGAGCACGATTTCTGTTCTCATCCTGAAGCAAAGTTCTTAACCCGAGGTACTATTTCTGGGTTAGTGGAGTCTGTAACCTGAAGTGTATGTAACCTGAAACGTATGTAACCCGAGGTACCACTGTACACTGTATGGGGTAGTGGGAGAATCTTGAGGTGTGTAAGAGACAGAATCATAGCATTGGCAGGGATGACGAGGGTCATCTCGTCCAACCCCTGCAATGCAGGAATCTTTCGAACCCACAACCTTGAGATTAAGAATCTCGTGCTCTACCAACGGAACATAAGAAGAGCTTGACTGCTGCCAGATCAAGCCAAAAGCCCATCTGGCCTAGCCTCCAGTGGCCAGCTCCTGGTGACTGGTATTCAGTGGTAGACTCCCCCTGACTTTGGAGGTTCCATTTGGCGATCGGGGCTATGAGGCCACAGAGAGCAGCAAGGTGGTCATGAAGAGAGCGGGGTGGTGGTGGCGGCACCTGGCTTGGTGATGGAGGGGGAGCCCAAAGGAATTAGGCGGACGCCTGGCGCTCTGCTCGTAAACCTCCCTGTCTGTCTTGGCAAGCATCACAGGGCCTGTCTTGAGAGTCTGTAATTAGCTTTTAATTAATCACGCTGGAAGCCTGCTCCTGGTTTCCTCAATAGATTCCAATGTGCTGACATGGGGAAAAGAATTCCACTGGTTCCTGCTGGTCCTCTGCTGAGGACCAAAAGGAAAACAGCCTGCCTTTCATCTGTCTACGAGCTGTATTAGTTCACTAGCAAAGTGTTTCCGCGGGGAGTCTGGGTTAAAGATAACAGGAGGGAAATTGAGGCTGTGTGTGTGAGACACACACAATTACTTTGCTATATCCTGAATATCCTGCCTTCTCTACAAGGAGCTCAAAGTAGTGCACATGATGTAGTATGGGGTGTGTGTGATTAGAATGTTGACTTAGAACCTGAGAGACCAGGGTTCGAATCCCCACACAGCCACGACACTTGCTGAGGTGACCTTGGGCCAGTTGCTGTCTTTCAACCTAACCTACCTCACAGGGTTATTGTGTGAATAAACAGGGGGACAGCCATGCATACCACCTTGAAACCTCCACCGTGAAAATAAAATATCTGCCTCTCCCTGTGAGGAAATTGTGTGCTTCATGGCTAAATAGGCACTGGAACCCAATCTTTGGAGTCCTAGTCTGACACTCTAACCACTAGGCCATGCTTCCTCTCCTCCCACTACCTCTTTTGAGGTAGCTTGGCTGGGGTCACTCCCTCTCTTGAGAGTGGTCTGTAGCCTTCCTTCAGAGGTTGTTGGAGAACAACCGCCATCAGCCGTAGCGGAGTTCGAATCTCACCACAGCCGCAGGTTGTTCAGTTTCCTCCTTCCTGATCTTGATTGCAAGCTCTCTGGGACAGAGGCCTGTGTTGTGCCTCTGCTAGTCTACAAAAAGCCACACCGTGCCTTCTCTAAGTCCCACATTCTGACGCTCCATCCCACTCTCCTGTAATTGTGTCACATACTAGTGTGACCAAGAAAGTGAACCTGGGGCGGAGCTATGCAGATTAAGGTCTAGGGCTGGGGAAAGTTACTGGGCCACCAGTGATGAGGATATTTGATCTAGCCCCCTCCCCAATTACAGCTAATAATAATAATAATATAGTATTTATACCCCGCCCATCTGACTGGGTTACCCCAACCACTCTGGGCGGCTTCCAACAGATATAAAAACATAATCAAACCATACCCTCCAACATTTCTCTGATGAAAATAGGGACGTCCCATTCCATAATGATAATTTTACCATTTATAAACCCACACATCTTATTGGGCTGGCCACTCTGGGCAGCTTCCAACATAAATAAAAACAGTGCTTTTTTCTAAAAACATATTTAAGGGTACTCTCATTTTCCTACTCATATTGAAATATTGTCCCTCAATGAGGCCAAACTTAGATTCACAAAATGTTAACCCTAACCCCTGCGCCCCCCCCCAGAAAAAAAGTACTGTATAAAAACATAATAAAACATTAAACATTTTTTAAAAATCCTTATATATGATTGCCTTCAGATGGCTCTGTGGTCAGATAACTCCATACCCTCCAACATTTCTCCAATGAAAATAGGGGCATCCTGAGGAAAAATGGAACATTCCTAGATCAAATAAGAAACCGGGACGTGTTCTTTAAATCAGGAAAATAGGGGCATTTGGTGGGTCTGTAAAACATTACACATTAAAAAGCTTTCCTATACAGGGCTGCCTTCAGATGTCTTCTTAAGGTTATATAGTTACTCATCTCCCTGACATCTGATGGGAGGGCATTCCACGGGGTGGGTGCCACTACCAAGGAGGCCCTGTGCCATTTCCCCCCCTACAGTGCGAGGCTAGAGAGCCTCTGGCCTGCCAGATGTGGCTGGACTCTAACTCCCATCAGCCCCAGCTAGCATAGCCAGTGGTCAGGAATGATGGGAGTTGTAGTCCTGGCAGGATCTGGTGGGCCACTGAATAGAGCAGGCATGCTGCCTGGGGGAGAGCGTGATGAGTGTAAGGAGCCCAAACACCTGGAGGGGCACCAAGTTGGGGAAAGGGTGCTAAACTAATGAGCTGTCAGGGAGGATGCTGTGACGATGAGGTTAAAAACTGGCACTGGGTGCCTTGGCCCTTCCTGCTGGTGTTCCCACAGGGGAGACCAACGTGTCCCAGTCACACAGTCCCCTTTTCATAACACTGGGTACTTTGCTAGTCACAGCAGCGAGATGCTATAACTAATTGTTCTAGTTGTGCATATTGGGGGGTTCTGCGAAAGAAGCACTCTGTACCTGCTCAGAGACACTAAGAAATTACTTTTTTTAAAAAAAGGAAAGAAAGCGGAGGATCTGGAGAGGATGGTTATTTTATTTTACTATTCTTTTTATATCCCACCTTTTCTCCAAAGAGCTCAATGTGGCGTTGAACTGAGGTCCCTTTGCCCCCCCCCAGAAAAATATTTGAGGAGGCTGCCGCCCCCAGGTGATGGGCATTGCCATTCATTTTTTTAAAAAATATTTTTTATTACATTTTCAGATACACAAGCAGAGATATAAAAGCCATAGAAAAGAAATAACAGAAACAAAGAAAGAAAAAAGAAAAAAATCCAATTTTCAAAAACTTTTTTACATAACCAACCGGACTTCCTCACATCTCCCCTACCATGCATTCTTTACAATAAAAATGTCAGCAAATTATTACCTTTTTTCACATCTTATTTTGTACCTTTCAGATATTATATTTTTAAATTTAAAATACTTTTTGTCAATTACTTGTACCTTAAATCGACCATAGTAATACTTTAAATTTCAACCTTTTCTTACCTGTAACTTAACTTCCTATTTCAGGAATCTGATTGCTGAAGCTAAAACTTCCAAATCGTGCAGTTTTTAACATTCATACAACTTGTAATATTTTTGTAAATAGTCCTTAAATTTTTTCCAGTCCTCTTCCACTGTTTCTTCTCCCAAATCTCGGATTCTGCATTGTCATTCAAATGGTGTGTGTGCACTGCATCTTCTGATTGATGCAGGGTGGGGCTTACCTGCCCCCCCAAATATTTTATTCAAGTTGGCACCCCTGGATGATATACACAGTTCTCCCCCTGCACTTTATCCTCACAACAAGGGAGGTTAGGCTGAGAGACAGTGAGTGGCTCAAGGTCGCCCAGTGAGTTTTATGGCTGAGCAGGGATTTGAACCCTGGTCTCAGGTCCCAGTCTAACCCTCTGGCCTCTCTGCCGTGCTTCACCCCCCCCCCCTCCATTGATGACCACACTTCTCTCCTTTTTGAGGAACTTTGAAAAATAGCAGCTTTGATTGCGGCTCAGTTGGAACCTTGCTTCAGCTCTGGAACGTGCCAGGTGGTACAATGCCTCTGAGCACGTGCAGAGGTGCTGAGTACCTGCAGCCAGCCCTGACACATGTATCTGCAATTAATATAGGGGGTGGGTGGGAAGGAAGAGATGTGACTTTCCAGGGAGAATTAAGTTCCATACCCTCCTTTCAAATTGCAACTGCTTTGGAACAAAACAGTTTCATCAAACTCTTTTTAATTAAAGAAGGTGGGGGGGAGGAGGAACACCCTGACAAATTTGACAGGCTTCAAATAGCTTGCCAGTTCACTCCGGGCTCCTTGATGGATAAATCAAAATGAAACTTAATACTGTTTCCGTGCGAAGGAAGTGGCTCAAAGAAAATGTGCGGAGATTTTTCTTTTTTAAAAAAGTTTGGTACAAATGGGTTCTCCAGTCTGCAAGGTGTATCTGAAACTTTGCTTTTACTTAAGTCCCCCCCCCCTTTTAATATAATTATCATTGATTAGCCCCATTTTGGCTACTGATCAGCCTTTGGCTGGCCATTGATCAGCCCTTTTCTGCAGACCCAGTGAGGAGAGCTTGGGTTTGGGCATCCTTTGTCTCCACGTTGCCTTTTGAGCCTGGCTTGTTGTGTCTGAGCCTTTTGTGACTCCCACTTGGCCGCTGCCTAGTGCTGAGGTGTTCTTTCTCTTTCCAACGGAGCCGAGAAGAACGGGAAGGCCGGGAAGATGTGCTTCCAGTTGGTTGGAGGGCGATTGCGACATGTGCCCTCCCACCCCGCTTCCCCCCCAGGCAGGTGACAGGAGATGGAATTGTGGCGCCGGCCCGGAAACGCTTAATTAACTACTGGGCTGGGTTGGACTTTCCAATAACATCCCGGTTAACCGGTTCTGAGCTGTTTACTTGCTGTTACAGCTGACCCTGGGTGGTGAGGATGATAGTGGAAGGGAAGGGGGTCAGTTGTGGTGGTGGGATGGAGAAGGGAACCCCGTGACATTTTCAGTTGTGTTCCTGTAATGAGGACTAGCGCCTTTGGGGGGGGGGAGATGGGTGTTACGTGTTATTCTATGCTTCCTGTCTCTGTGTGTTTTCAGTGTTGCATCCACTTACTCCACTCCTTAATTAGCCACTTAATTAAAAGTTAGGCTATGTACACCTTTAAAGCACATTCAGAGCAGATTCATTCCCTCTCAAAGAACACTGGCCACTGTAGTTTGTTAAGGGAGGCTGGGAATTGTAACTCTGTTTGTGTGTGTGGCAGGGGGAACTACAGTACCCAGAATTCTTTGAGGGAAAGGATGTACTTCAAATGTGTTTTAAATATATAGTGTGTTCATGGCCTTAGTTTTAGGGCAGGGTTGAGGAAGCCTTTCGCATGTTCTTGGAGTCCCGCTCACATTGGTCCCAGCCAGCATGGCCAATGTCCATTTTTTATTATTTTTATTAGATTTATATAAACCACCCTTCATCAAAATATCTCAGGACGGTTCACAAGATAAAAACACAAGAAAACACACACAAATAAATAGTCAAAACAGAAGCAACGAAACAGTAACCCTCCTTCCCACAAACACATTTAAAATACTTTAGAATATTAATTGGGGATAATGGGAGTTGTTGTTGCGGTGGCGTGGGCCACAGGTTCCCCATCTCTGGATTAAGTGAACACATATTATAATCCTGTACCCCTTTACCTGGAAATAACCCCCATTGAATTCAGTGGAACTAAGCAGTGGGGAACCTGCAGCCTTTTCAGTCCCAGCCAGCCTGGCCAATGGTCGAGCAACATGCCATGGATGCTCTAGTTGAGATCCCTGCATGGCAGGAGGTTGGACTTTATGACCCTTGGGCCGTGTTAGAAATTAGCCAGGCGCATTTTGCTACTGCTGTGGGTCCAGTTGCAACTAGCTGTAGATTTCTGGGCACCAGGTTGGTGACCACAGTTTAAAAACTTCTGCCTTAATCCATGGAGACCCATGTTTGGGAAACCTTGACCAGGGGGGACAAGATGGCACTTCTCAGATCCTTGAAGGCCTATTGCAGCAGTGAGGAACGTCTTGCCTTCCAGAGATTCTTGGACCACAACAACTTCCACCATCCCTACTCCTTAGCCCTACTTGCTGGGGCGAGTTGTGGTCCAGGAACATTTGGAGTGCCACAAGTTCCCCACTGCTGGTGTGTCACATCTGTGGAGTCAAAGACTTGCTCCCTGCTGCTGTCCCAGAGGGCAGGTCTAATTTAATGGGATTGAGTTACAGGACAGGAGATTTCGGCTGAAGGCCAGCAGCTGGGAAGGGCAAGCAGAGAGAGGGGTTGTTGCACCCAGGTCCTGCCTGCAAGCTTCCTACTGGGGTATCCGCTGTGAATGCTGGGCTGGATGCAGCGTGACTGTTCCTATGTTCTTGTACCAGTGGAAGTGACCACTCCCTTTCCCACCTTGCAGTCTCCTTGGGCGGCTATGCCCTGTGGAAGGATCTGGAGCCTTCGGTGGCTGAGCCGCCGTCATACCCGATGCCCTTGGACATGACGATACGGAGCTCCACCTACACGGCCGCCCAGCCCCATTGCACAGCCCAGGTCCCAAGTGGGGTGCATCAGGATGAAGAGCCAGGGTTCTTGCACCCCAAGATCAAGGTATGACCTGATAAGAGGGGGAAATCTCCTATGTTTGAAGGAATTTCAGGTAGCTGCTAGTGGGAAGGGTCTGTTAGAAATTAGCCAGGCGCCAGGCGCGTTTTGCACCTGGCTTCCGGCCATTTGCGACCAAGTGAAGATTCAGGAAGGCGCCTGACATCTCCACCATCTGGAGGAGTATGCGTGGGGATCCTTGGATCTTGACTGTTTTCACACACTAATACCCCATCCCGTAGAATTCTATTTTATCTGCACAGTCTGAGGGCAGCTGCCCGTGCCCCCTTCTGGCTCCATGTGTGCAAGTGAGTCTCACAAAGCCTCTTCCACCATCTTTTCTCTGCAGGTGACGCAAGGCGACGGCCCCGGGGAGCAGTTCTCCTGCCCCTACTGCAAGAAGGGCTTCTCCTACCAGCGCATGCTGAACCGCCACTTGAAATGCCACAGTCAGGTGAAGCGCCACCTCTGCCCCTACTGCAACAAGGGCTTCAACGACACCTTTGACCTCAAGCGCCATGTCCGGACACACACAGGTGAGCTGCTCTTCTCTCTTACTTGAGAGCAGAGTTGAGCCAGGCCGGTGAAGCACAGGTGTCTCCCCCTCCTGCTGCGACAAGCTCCTCTCCCCACTGGTCTCCTAGGACCAGGAGAGGCGTGAAACGGGAGGAGCAAAGTCAGGCATGCTGGCGTAGTCTCGGATTGCTTGGGGAAAACTCTGGAGAGGTGTAGACTTAGGCAGCTGCAGGAAGGAGGGGACTTTTAGTCTCAGCAACTGCCTCATAGGGGCAAGACCTACCGGAGAGAGCTGCTCCGCTAGGTCTTGCCCCCATGGAGTTACTTACTCTTCTCTACTATGCAGCAGTGATTCATTTATGGATCTGCCCCAGTTCAGTAGCAGCTGCAAAAGTACCACACCCTTCTGAGTACACGTAAAAGTGCTCTGCTTTTTGCAGCAGTTACTGATCTGCCTGCCCAAAGACGAATGAGAGGGGGTGGCAGCCCACGAAGGTGCTTTAATACCATTTGGAAAGTTGAAATGGAGCACATTCTGCTGTTGTAAGAAACAGGTCTTTCAGTGTTCCAGCACCTGTCCTTTGGAACTCCCCGCCTATTGATATCCGGCAGGCGCCTTCCCTGTGCCCTTTTCAGCGCCTGCTAAAATTGTTTTTGTATATGCAAGCCTGTCTGGACATGTATGAGCTGTCATGTGTTTCCATCTGGTTTTTAGCTTGTCATTGATTTTAATTAACTTTTTTTTTTTTAAAAAAAGCGTTTAACTCTTTTTCTGCTAATCTCATTGTTTCAAACAACACGTTCAAGCTTTCCGATTGCACTGTTTCTCCCGCCCAAATGCCTCTGTGTTTTGTGCCCACCGGTGCACTAAAAAAAAGACTTTTGTTTCCCACTCCTTGCAGGCGTCCGCCCTTACAAATGTGACCTCTGCGACAAGGCTTTCACCCAGCGCTGCTCGCTGGAGTCTCACCTGAAGAAGATTCATGGGGTGCAGCAGAGCTACGCCTACAAAGAGCGCCGCGCCAAGCTGTACGTCTGCGAGGAGTGCGGCTCCACGGCCGACAGCCAGGAAAGCCACTTGCGCCACCTCCAGGAACGCCACCCTGACAGCCCGCTGCTGCGCAAGGCCACACGCAAGACGGCTGCTGCTGTCCACGCCGGCGCTGCGCCCACTCTGCTGCAGGGGGGGCCTTGCCTCTGAAGTGTGTGCCTGAGTGTTCTCACGCGGGTGGGGAGGAAGTGCCTGTCCCTGTCCCGCGACCCTCTGGCACCCCTCTTCTGCCCTCGGTGCCCCCACCCCCTCTGGCAAGCACAACCCTCTTCCTAGCTCAGGGATTCTCAAAACTTCTTATGCTCCAAGTGGGAGACAGGGCTGACATTTTCATTTGGAATCACGGCACAGAGCGAGAGGGGAAAGGAGAAGAGACTATGTTGGAAGTATGAAGTCAAATGTCCTTTTTTTCCTCTGGGAGGAAGGAGCCGGAAAGCGAAACCCGGAGTGTGAACTCAAAGTGGTTTTCAGGCCCAGGAAGGAGACTTTTCCAGTTGCTGCCTTCAATTCCTCCAAGGACCTGCCCTCCAAAAACCCAGTTATTTGGAGGGAATGGAAGGGGGAGGTTGGCTGTGTGGGCAGTGGTGTAGCGTGGGTTGCTAGCACCCGGGACCATGTGGAGGGAGTGGGTGGGTGGGAGGGAAATAGATGGAGTACGCATGCGCATTCAACTACCTAATGTTGTCCACGTCACCCAGGAAATCGCAGCTGCAGAGATTTTTTTAAAGAGTTGTTGTCCAGAGAGGTCACTTCCTGGTTTGCATGGAGAAGTTGTTTTCAACGGAGCCCAACAACGGAAGTGCAAAGCTGTATTGAGGCAGCACTGGGTGTTGAAATCTTGTGCCCCTAACAATTTTGCACCCGAGGCAACCGCCCCAGTGGTACACACACACACACACACACACACACACACACTATATGCCAATGTGTATGCCTCAGCCCTAGGACTTTGCATTGTTCTTCAGAGTGATGCTAAGAGTGCCTTAAGAAAACCCCTCTTAAGACAGGGTTGGGGAAGCTGGGGGGGGGTCCTTGAGATGTTGTTGGACTCCAACTCCCATCAGCCCCAGGTCACCGAGTTCAGAAGACGGGGAGTCCAGCAACTTTTGGGGTGCCACAGATTCCTCATCCCTGTGATCTCATGGGTTTTGTAAAAATGAAAAAGCATACCCTTTGTAGAGTAGTAGACAGTGCAGGAAAGGGCTTCTTTCTTTGCACGATGGTCATATAATCATGGAAGGGACCTCAGAGGCCTTCTAGCTCTGCCCCCCCGCCCGTGCAGAAGAAGTGCTGCTACAGCATTCCTGACAGGAGGCGGCCCGGCCTCTGTCCCTCCTACAGACATGTAGCTTTCGAATCCAGAGGTTTGGGTGGCTGCACATTTTCCTGATTCTGTGAACCAGATGCAGCCTCTAAGACATGGATTTCCCTCTTTGTGTACCGTAAGAAATAAATGTTAAACATCAGGCTGCCTCTGTATGAGTCCCCGTTCTGGCCTGCCAACCAGCCTCTACCCAGAGCTGCAAATCCTCTTTTGCCTTTGTGCCATGGCTGTGATTGCATCCCATAGCTGCTTTCCTTTGGAAAGCAGCGGTGGAGTTAACTGTCCTGTCACATCTCTGTGCTAACCTGCTATAGGGCCGGCCCTATCGTTGGGGAGGTTGGCTGATTTGGGGCGTCATGAAAAGGCAGCAAATTGTGAAAGGTATTTAAGTTAATAATGTAAATTGTATTTTTTTATATATATTGCGAGGGGGAGAGAGAGGCACTTGTGGGATATTCTGCCTTAGGTGCCAAAAGTAACTGGACTAGCCTGGTGCCTTGTTGCCACGCAGGTGTGATGGAACAGTGGGAACGTCAGCATCTTAATGGGACCGGGGCATAAAGTAAATTATATGAGGGTGTGAGTTTTGTTTACATATTGGTCTTCTTTCTCGGATCTGCTAGGAAAGGAGCCAGGCCTGTGAATTTTTAATGTTATTATATTATTATTATTATTCATAATCAAGGATTCTCCATCTCATGAATGAAAATAAAGAAACTGAATATTTTGCGAGTCTGTAGGGTGCGTTGTGTTTTTGGATTCCAACAAAGCAGCCTTCAGCATCCTGGTATCTCCCAGTAGATGGGAGTTGTAGACCAACAACATCTGGAGGGCTTCAGATTGCTGAAGGCTGCAAAACTCTAGGGCTGAACGCTGCAACTACATTTGCTGGGCCCAAAGGGCCTCGCTCTGGATCCAAACTGAGGCCCACAAGCTGGATTTGGCCTCCAAAGAATAAGAAGGTTTCTGCCCAGTTTGGTTTGTAGGGAAGAGGGAAAAAATGTTGCTAATGCAGGAAGGTTTCTGCAATCCCTTTCAGCTATAGGCACCCAAGGCATCTCACGAAAACCTCAGCTGTCTCCATAAGAGGGACCCTGCTGGACCAAAGACCAGTGGCTCACCTCGTCCAGCTTCCTCTTCCACAGTGGCCGATCAGATGCCCAGTCTGGGAAGCTTGGATGCGAGGCCTGAGTAGTCCCTTGGGGTTACTGGAAGGAGGGCTCACATGGGATCATATTCAGAGGCAGAAAAGGCTTTTATGTGCGGGTGTGACTAAGTGTGTGTGTGTGTGTGTGTGTGTGTGAGAGAGAGAGAGAGAGAGAGAGAGAGAGAGAGAGTTGGGGTTTGGTCTTTCCCCTTTGATTTACAGTTATTGAAAGAGGGTGAGCAGGAAAGCCCTCCTCAAGGCCATCCCAATACATTTTGGCACCTGAGGAAACCACAAAATGGCGCCCTCCCACCAGGGAAGAAGCTGGGAGTGAAGATCTACCTCAGAAACAAGGGGTGGGGGGAAGCGGCAGCAGGTGATGCGTTCCTTGGAGGCCGGATCCTGCCATCCCTGTGGATCCTAAGGTGGTTGCCTCACCTTGCCCCATGAGTGGGCCCGGCCTGGCCCTCCTTCACACATTTCTGCCTGTTTTGTTACTCTTATTTAGTTATTGGATGAATTGAGGCATGGGTGGGTGGCAGCTTTCTTCACAAGAAAGTTTATCAATAGTGAAGCTTACAAATCAGTCTGAGCCCAAGGAGATTTACTCTAAAACAAGCCCTGTGGAGTCTAGTCCTGGTGCTGCTTGTTTCTTGGCTGAATAAAAATTCTTGTTGAGGTGGTTTTTTTTTTAGCTAGGGGAGCAGTGAGAGGGAAGACCAGAACATAATTACAGTGGTACCTGGGTTACAGACGCTTCAGGTTACAGACTCCGCTAACCCAGAAATAGTACCTTGGGTTAAGAACTTTGCTTCAGGATGAGAACAGAAATCGTGCTTTGGTGGCGCTGCAGCAGCAGGAGGCCCCATTAGCTAAAGTGGCGCTTCAGGTTAAGAACAGTTTCAGGTTAAGAACGGACCTCCGGAACGAATTAAGTACTTAACCTGAGGTACCACTGTATGTTATGTTATGCAAAGTTAACTAAGCAACCTCCTTTTGACAGGGTTAGGGTGCTGGGGAGACAGATGCCTTGTGAGGAGTGGGGGAGAATAAAAATAAATTGGAGGACAGAGAAACAATGAAGGAGAGCAGATTTTGGGGTTATCGGCGGTGAGAATGAGATTGGCTTTGCCAGGAAAATGGAGGAGGAGGAGACGGCTTGCCCAAGAGGCACATGTTCTTTTCTTCTTTAAAATGAGGACGCATTATACTGTAAACTATACATATATAAAATTATTTTGTCTGAGGATCTGAAATGATTGACATTGACAGGCGGAAACCTCTTCTAATCCTTGCTTTTTATAAGCGGCCCGGAGGACATGATTTTGTTGGAGAGCTTCACCACAAAATTTGGAGAAGTGTGAATTTTTGAAGGCCATTTGAGTTTTGGTTGGCATGTTGCTTTTAACCCTTCCCAAGACCAATTCTATTTCTAGTAGGTAGCTTTGTATTCCTCAACTATTTTGGCATTAAAACCTGCACATGGAATACTTGCTGTGGCCAGCAGAGGGTGCACAGATATTACACATACGCAGTGGATTTTGAAGATTATAAGACAAGCACCTAGAATAACTACAAATGCCACACACCAACTGCACATTTTCTCTCTCACGCCAATTGCAATGGTATGTTCTAAGATGACACTTGCGGCAGCAGATATCTGGAGCATCTGAAAACAAAGAAAATAGCACTTCAGGCTTCAGAAATATTGCTTTTAGGTAAAGGGACCCCTGACCATTAGGTCCAGTTTTGACCGACTCTGGGGTTGCGGCGCTCATCTCGCTTTATTGGCCAAGGGAGCCGGCATACAGCTTCCAGGTCATGTGGCCAGCATGACTAAGCCACTTCTGGCGAACCGGAGCACAGCACAGAAACACCGTTTACCTTCCCGCTGGAGTGGTACCTATTTATCTACTTGCACTTTGACATGTTTTCGAACTGCTAGGTTGGCAGGAGCAGGGACCGAGCAACGGGAGCTCACCCTGTCACGGGGATTCGAACCACCGACCTTCTGATCGGCAAGTCCTAGGCTCTGTGGTTTAACCCACAGTGCCACCCGCGTCCCTACCCCAGTGCAAATTCAACCCATAGATCAGGCATGGGGAATGTCAGGGATGGGGAACCTCAGCTTCAGGGCTGAATGTGGCCCTCCAGACCTCTCTGCCTGGCCCCTGGAACTCTCCCGATGCCACTCCCCATAGCAGGCCACACCCCTCAGCAGCACTGCTCCCCAAGTGTGTTTGCCAGACAGGAATGTGTCCTCAAAGTGGATGGAGGCATGCGTGTAGAAAGCATTGACTGTTGGGTGGCTGGAAGACACCATTGCTTCATCTACTTGTTGTCTTTGGCCCCCTGTCCACCTCTGGCATGATGTCAGTGCAAAGAGGCAACGCAGCCCTTGTGGGAGGGCAGTGGCTCATTGGCAGAGCAGGCAGAAGCCCTGGGTTCAGTCCCTAGTGGCATCGCCAAGTAGGGTTTGGAGAAATCCCACTGATATCTCACACCAGTCCTGGGCGCCACTCAATATGAAGTCCAGGGTTGCCTTCCCTCTGGTTGGTTTCTGAACCAGCTGTTCAAAAGCACAGTCATTTGGGGAATCTAGAAATGTTGCCTCTTCACTGTGAGTGGAACACTCATGTAGCCTTGAGAGTTGCTGCCAGTCCATGTAGACAATACAACAGTAGACAATACAACAGTTTCCAGTGCTCCTTTGGGCTGAAAGTGCTCCCCATCTTTCCTCTCAACTTTGACCCTGGGCATCGAGGAACTAGTGACCCGATTTAAACTCCAGGATTTGGGTGAAGGTTTCCCCGCTGCCTGCGTGGTTTCCCCGAACTTGATGTCTGTCCCTTCATTGGGTACTTAAATTCTTATTCCACTGACGTTGAAGAGCAGAGTCCAAACGCTGGCCAGCGATGCAGACAACTAAGTCATATGTCCCTTGTAATGGGAGCATGCACAAGTAATGAGGATGTAGTTGCAACATTTTGGCACTTAATTGAAATCGGAAGATTTTATGTCTGGCTCTGGAGATGCCTTTGGTGGAACCACCGAGTGCTGCTGCTGACCTGAGGATTTATTGCTTGAGCTGTGCAGACACCAGAACTCTGGGGATGCTGCACACAAGCCAGCACAAGCACTCGGACT